TCAGCAGGCACTGAGAGAAAGCACTGAAGGTACCCTTGATCTGAGCATCAAGAAACCGAGGCAGCAACAAGAATACAATCATTCCCTGCAAACACTTCACAAGCCACCGACGGTCACTCTCTATCGCCCAGAGCCTCCTCCAGGTGCTTACTATCATCCTCACGCTCATCCCGAACAAGGACGTGGTGCCAAAAGTCCTTTGGTATACGGGTCGTCGTCACCACGACCTCAAGCACCCCTTACACCCAAGATGAATAAAATTGCAGTACCACCACCACATCCTAAATTGTCACCCAAGTTAAGCGCAATAGGAACAACAAGCCATAAAAGCGGTTCCATTACGCACGGTACTCCTGTATCTAGTGCACATTACGATGGTCTTCTTAGACAAATGACTCCTCCAGGAAACCCTGGCAATGCCGCTGGAACGCCTAGTGTGACCAGTGGTACCAGTGTCGTAAATGCACCCAGCAATCAAGGCCCTAAAGAAACAGGATCGATAACTCAAGGAACCCCTGTTCATCCTTTCGCAGTGGACAAGCGTGCTCCCATGTATGATTATCATAGAACTATCAGACACTCACCTGTAACGACGGGTAACATTCCTGGCCAAGGCCAGACCCAAGCCGGGACAGCAGCAGTGGTAGTAACTCATAGTAATCAGTACAATTCTTATTCGGTGCGACCACCTCCTAGTTACACCATGGAACAACAGCTGTCGTCCAGACAAATTATTATGAATGATTACATTACCAGTCAACAGATGCACGCACGTAGTCGAAGTGTTGGCACATCTGAAGGTAGTAGTAAAAACGAGGCGCCATCGACATTGTACTATACCAGCACACCCCCGCCACAGACTCATACGCAGAATCGACAGGGTGTGATACAGAGGCATAATCCACAAAAGCAGATTCATTACCCGCCACCACCACCAGGACTGGAGGCATTCTCTAGCTTGGTGGATGTCGCTGTACAGCAACCAAGTCTTCCTGTTCCCCATCCACATGGTCATCCTGCATCTGGAAGTAGCAGTCACGAGGGTCTTGGTAAAACTATGGCAGATAGACTACTAGCTGATCGTTATGGAGATAAGCACCGTCTAGCCATGCATCAGGATCACAGAATGGCTGTAGCTCACCATCATCCACGTGATAGAGAAAGAGAACGGGATTTGGTTCTCCTACGCGAAAAAGAGATTCAGCAGCAGGAACATAGATTGGTTCAACAGAGAGAAAAGAACGTGCAACATGCTGAGCACAGACTATCGATACAGCAACGAGAGAAGGATATACAACATACTGATCACCGTCTTACCGTCCATCAACAAAGAGAAAAAGAGCTTCATCAACAGATGGCAGTGGTTGCTGCTCAACGTGAAAAGGAACACCAAGAACATCGTTTAGCTGTACAACAACAAAGGGAGAGAGATTTGGCGCATTTACAACAGCAACAACAACAACAACAACAACAGCTTCAGCAACATATTCAACAGCAACAGAGAATGGAAGCTGAAAGAAGACATATGGCTCAATTGTATAGAGATCAGCAGCAACAACAACTTGATAGGGATAGCAGATTAATAAGTAGCGGGTTTACTCAGTCCTCTCGACTTCAACAACCTCAACAATCCCAACAGCAACAACAACAGCAACAACAGCCATCCTCTAGACAAAACCAGTCCTCCAACCAGCAGCAAAACGAATCAGCATCTACCTTAACAGCCGCCAGTTTGATAGATGCTATTATAACACACCAAATTAATCAAAGTGTAGAGAACACTGGTGGAAATTCTCAGCCGCAACGACCAGGTGATCGTCTTTTCCAGGTAAGCTGAAATTTCTCATGTTAATTTTTATATATTATAATCTATATATTAAGTGTTCACATGCATAGATGTGTTTTGTACGATAGAAAACTTTTCAGGGATTTCACCGGGAAGCTCCAATAGAACCTAATGGGATGGCTCACAGTCCTGCTGGCGAAGGGAATGGTGGTAACAGCGGACCTGGGAGCGCAGGCGGCAATGGAAGTGGAAATAAACCAATCACTCTTGGAGAACATGTTGATCATATCGTTTCTAAGGATTATGGTCCTCCACATTCCTCATACAGATCGTATAGTGGGTAAGTTCTCAATGAAATATAATTTACTATTTTTATATTCTATTTTACGTTAAAGATTCTAATAATATAATATTTTTAATTGAAATAGGTATCAAATCTCGGAAGATCAGTGGAAAAGACGAAAAGCCAGTGAACCGGATTCCGTCAAGGCTGGAGACGAGCGTCAAATAATTCGAGTCACGCAACAGCAGTCGCAACAGCAACAGCAGCAGCAGCAGCAGCAGCAGCAACAGCAGCAGCAACAGCAGCAGCAGCAGCAGCAGCAGCAGCAGCAGCAGCAACAGCAACAACAACAACACCAGCATCAGCAGCAGTCAGCTTCATCGGTAGGAAAGCAACAGTTCCATTCGGTCGAGCCTGTTTCACCTCCAGAAGCAGGTACCAATCACTACGGGCGTCGCCTGTATGAAACAACCACTGCCACATCAACTTCCGGAACTCCTTCCAATAAGCCGCACCTTTCACCTCTGGATTACGTTAAAAACAAAATCGTTGAAGTAATGCGTACATCGGAGGACGATAAAGGAAGTAACACAGCTGACAGAAACGGAGGAAATGTTACGAGTGGAGAGAAGGACGAGAAAATTGGAGGAAACGTGGAAAGTCCCTCAAGTGGAGAGATGATGGTCGACGAAACACCAAATCAAACTCCTCAACCACCTGCACCGGCACCCACGACCACTTTTTATCCGTTCAGTGCATTAGGCGTGCACACTGGGCCGCCACCAGCACCACCACCTCCAACTTCCGGATCCACTTCTGTGACCAAGTCTGAGCAAATGCAAGCCGAGCCGGCACCGTTGCTTTCTGCGCAGTATGAACCACTTTCTGACGAGGATTGATAGTCTAGTAATTTAGCAACGTGTACTAATCGACACGCTGTGAGAATGTTCTTCTTAGGGTATTTATGCGGTTTGTTTATGCTCGACGAAAGTCTTATCCAGACTACGATAATGAATATCGAATGTTTCACGATTACTAATGTTTTTCGGGCGTTAGCCATTGCGTTCTAACTGGTCGTGTCCAATAGTTTCTCTAATAATAGTCGAATCGAAGAGATTTTCTCGTATTTCGTTTCGTTCCGTTCGTTTTTCACTCTTATTCTTTCTTTTTTCTTTTCTTTTTTTTATCACGAACTTTATCGTATTCCGAAATGGAGATTATAGTACGATGTTTTTAAATAGAATTTATTATTTTATAAATTTCATATTCCGTCAGTGTATTCTTTTAGTCGAGGATCGTTTCCGTACTCTCTGTGTACGTAAATGTGATTATTTTACAGAAGCATTATTATTTTTTAATGCTTAGTCAGCGCATGAGAAATGATAGCAGCGTAATTTTAATTAATAATTGATATTTTTTTACGCATTACTTATCTTCCGCGCTAATATGTACGTAAACGTTGTGTATAATTATCAACTAGATTAAATACAATTATTTCTGTTTTCACCGCCACTTTTTTTGTTTTTTAAGGATATGCTTTTTTTAAGATATCGTTCGCTTCTGACTTATCCACGTTGATAAAAAAACAAAACGAGGAATTTTTTTATTTTAAAACGACGCAGAACAATCTTTACAGTTGTGAAATTATTAAATTTATACGAAATAACACATGTGTCGCCGTGATATTTAATTTTTATATTAAATCCGAATACAATATAAACAAATATAGTAAAACTTTTGTTGAACACAAAAATTGTTTTTTCGTATTTTTAATGTGTTCGAAAACTTGTATTCAAATGGCGTTAAATCATTTTTCTAAACGTACTTTTGCGTTTTTTTATGGAAAGAAAGTGTGCATCGTACGCAAGTTCTCGATCCTTTTCGGAGCAAGACTAAAAAACAAACATTATCGAATAAAATCGACCTGTGGAACGTCCAGGCTAGCCCAAGTTGACAATGGGGATGCTTTTTGTACATAATGAATGATATGTAATCGTTAAACGATGATACAACGCAAAAAAGGCATACGTGTTTTTATTTGGAATGAGTCTGTGATGTGTCTGGGATTATAAGAAATAGCTTCAACTGTTATACCAGTGCGAAGAGCGTACTAGCCTCAAGTTTGACGTGGAGTCAATATGGCAGACGTGTAAGAGACATTTCAAATGCATTCTCGCACACATTGACAGTGTACTGTCTTACCGAGATCACTTTAAATGTTCTCTCCTTGGTGAAGTGGGTTTTAAACAAAACAACAAAAAAAAAAAGTGTAATTCTAAGTGTTGTACATAGTACACAATATTAATTTCTAAGTTGAACAAGTAGGTATATGATGGCTAGTTTAATCGTATGCTATACTGTAAGAATCTAGATTTAGCGTAAGTGACGTAGCTAGCATTTAGGGATTAGACGCCATGAACTGACTAGGGAAAAGAATCTTCCCGAACTACGTTCTCTTATTAATAAAAAAAAAAGAAAGAAAGAAAACGTATACAGGCGATTAAATGATCGATGAAGAAAGATCATCATCCGTCACAAGCGAATGGATGTGAATTTTATTTTATTTGATTGAAATTATAGAACCTGAATGTACGCTCTGACTATCAAACAAACAGAAAATACATTACGCAGTTATACACGTTACACACAAGTTACATTTTCACTTATTCATAAGCACATAAACACATACATACATCGGTGAATACACGTGTACACAAAGAATTTTTATATAGCCTAATTTTATATTTGTATGCAAACGTAAGTTCAACCGTGCGGTCTGCTCCTTCATTTAGTCACGCGACACTCGAAACGAGCCTTAGTCCCCTTGACATAAGAAAAATATTGCTTTTTATTGCAACATTTGCTGCACCGTAAGTCGCTTCTACCAAACGTGTTATAAATGTATACATATGTACATAACACACGTATGTATGTATATATATATATATATATGTATGTGTGTTTGCGCGTGCGTGCGTCTATGTGTGTGAGAGAGAGAGTATGATGTACGTATGTATGTATGTGTGTACGTATGTATATATGTATATGCATGCTTATTGTATACATATATTTAATATATATGTGTATTTCCTGATACTTTATTTCATTACGCACTTTTGTATGGTTGAGCCGACGGAGCTCTCGAGAAAAAAATATTCGGTCAGATAATCGAGTGTCTCAATACATTTGCGCGAACTATTGTTACAAAACGACCACCACGTTTCGTTAACTTTATATTGGGAGTCGCGATAATATCATCTATGTTTCGTTTTATATGTTACATCGTTCAGTTTTTGCGAAGATCATATCGGAGGAGTGTCGAATATATATGTACAAACTGTACACGCGTGAATACATGTTCGGAGAAAATATTCAAACTATAGTTCGATAAAATAGAGTTCGTTTGCATCTAGGTAGATATTCATGCATATGTATATACACACAACATATACATATATATACATACACATACACACATATATGTATGTATGTGTATAATATATATGTGTGTGTATGTAGATATATATATACACACACTATGCATGCTCTGCGATACACAATCGCTTCAATGTACCGGACAATGTCTATATAAAGAGCGAGAGAGAGAAAGAGAGAGAGAGAGAGAGTGTGTGTGTGTGTGTGTGTGTGTGTGTGTGTGTGTGTGTGTGTGTGTGTGTGTGAGAGAGAGAGAGTGTAAGAGAAAGAAAGAGAGAGGGACAAATATCTGGAGACCGATGGTTCAAAAACAAAAGATCTTACAGAGCCTCCTTGACACGATCATGAGTCGATAAAATAATGATTTTGAAATTTGAAAACTTCTGTATAAAGCTTTTTTCAACACCGTTTTTAGTTTCGGTTTTCTAATTTTTTCTTGAGAACAGAAATGAAAGGAATGGTTGAATATTTGCTATAAGCGTTCGTATTAACTTAGCACAGAAAATACTCTCTAGTTCATAATAGACACAATAATGGTGTATCGAGACACTTCAGAATCGCAAATTCGTCGGTCACCTTTCGTGAGTTGTACGTTACCGTTGTTTGACTTTAGACAGAAGAAGGGTAAGAGAGAGAGAGAGAGAAAGAGAGAGAGAGAGAGAAAGAGAGAAAGAGTGCAAAACAAATCGTTTGATAAAATCGTGTCTGTAAATAAACGAACCATTACCCTTTGCTTCGCCAGTGGTCTCACATTAAGGTTTCTTAGTGTTTTTTCAACTTGTGACTTTGAAGAAGAGAACTTCTGCGTTCTACGCCGCGATTTTTACATATTTTTAAACGATAACGTAAAAAGGAGTCTAAAGATCTCGAATGTTAAGCAAGCACGTGATCATTGATGCATCCATCACGCCGACACTGTCCTTTCTCATGCTGTTGTGATTATAGTATGATCGCATCGATCCAGTAATTATATTACGTTAGCCGGTAACATAGTGTCAAATTATGGTCGCCATCATTATTATCATCTCGCAATATTCGGTACATTATCGCTATCGTAGTATCTCGTCACAACTGACTGATATTATTTAATTCGATCGTGAAATGATGAATATTAAAAAAGGGATATAATCAGAAACGAATTTTTTCCCAGCGTTCCATAATGATATAACACGTGTATAGGTTGTCGCTCTGTACAATGTATGCAACGTAAACATTGTTCAAATGAAATGTATTATAAAGATATCGATCAGAGGGCATCTTCTCAGTATTATTTCAGTAATCGGCCCTAACGTGGAAAAAGTAGTCGTGAGAAAAAGTGACACTATCCGAAAATAGAATTACATATAAATAAATATACGCTATATAGATTCGGTTTCGAACGAAATTCACATCATGGAAATTCTACAGCCTCGCATAAGATATACAGAGCATTTATTTTAGCCGATCATAAAGGCGATTCACAATCAACAAATCGTATTGTTACGAAACTTTACACTCATTGTAACGCGTCAAAGAAAAAACAAAGAAAAAAAGGAAAAAAAAAACAAGAAAAGTTTTTAGATTGTACAAAATCAGAATCCTGAAGAATAACCGTGTTTAAATGCTTCCAGTAAAATAAAAGAAAGAGAGGTAATATACAAAATGGGATATTAAGCAGAAAGGTACAGTGTGAACAACCGCAGCTTTCAAACGCCATCACTCATAATCCGATTGTACTTTTCGAAGAGTGCCCTTGACGTTTCTCTGTTTTCTCGCTGCTGTAATCTGATCGCATCGAATGCGTTTGATTTTCTCATTCGTCGCGTTGTCGAATTTTGTTATCTTTGAATCTAACCAGGAGCTTAAGGAAAATATACGTGTCGCATTGAAACTATCTATATCTATCAAAAAAATGAATACTCTTTGATCTGTGCGTCGACTTTTATACATACGAGTACGACGCGATGTAACAAACGCGTGTTAAAATATTTTCAGGATTAATGTTTGCTCAGAACGATACTTTCGGATATTAAAAGTGGAATAAATGCTGTACATTGGACAAAAAATGAAGTTAGAAAGCGGAGTACGACAATGGCAACCCTCTTTTTAGGTACTTCGTAGCACCGTAAGACATCAAATGAAAATAAAAATACATACACAAACACACAAACACAATATAAAAAAGACGAATATATCATTGATATGACAGGCAAATCATATCTAGACTATACTATAGACTAGAAACAACGTAAGGTATCGATAAAACGTCGTGTGTATGTACCTACTCGTTTGTAACCTGAAGGAAGGTCGATATCTATCGTTCAATCTCTTTTACGCAAGAAGTCTGTACATAGGTAAAGAAAAAAAAGAGAAGTAAAACACGCCGAGGTACTCATCTCCCTCCCAAAAACATTGTACCATAATAATAATAATAACAATAATAATAATAATAATAATAATTATAATTATAATTATAATGATGATGACGATGACGATGACGATGATAATGCTTATGATGCGGTCGCGCGGAACGCGAAAAGCTAATGAGACAAAAAAGTAAACGAAACGGGATTTAAAAAAGAGAGGGGAAAAAAAGCGAAAAAGAAAAAAGAGAAAGAAGAAATGAAATAATAATTAAAGAAGAAAAAAAAGGCTAAGAAGCGATATTACCTACGAACCCGCTATTAATGCGATCAATTCAAATAAATTAACTACAATTAATAGCGAGCGAGAGCATACCACGCCTACAGTAAACTACAGGTGTAGCATACACGATAATATTATTATCAAAACAGTTCAATGTAAATTGTTATTTTTGTTGAAATAAAAATCACCTCCGTTATAATAACGAGCACCCCTTTTGACTCTTGTCTCTGAACGCTCCGTGTTATTTTTTATGTAGCCAAGTATGGATATACAGAGCGTACATGAATGTCTTTTTTTTTTAACACGTTCAGTGCTGTATAAAATTTAAAGTTCCTGGTAGATTAAAATAAAACTGAAGTTTAAAATTAAATGCAAGAATTATAACGAAGCATTTAATTAGGGGGAAATCTTAATTACACCAAGTTCTTTGTATTTTCTTACTTTTATTGTTCCTTCATTTTATTTCACGGTTGAATGTAAAGGATAAGGAAGATACTTCTGGTGGGCCATTGTTAGCCCACGTGGCACGAAACGTGTTAATGGTTAATGAATCTCAAAAGAAATTCGTTGAGTTCAATATTTGATACGTATTCTTCTTTTGAAATAGATAAAAATATATGATGATTTAATTGTACAGCTAATCATTTAAGTAGGATTTAATGATATGTCTTTTTTTTATTAATAAATATCGTAATACTTGACTGAAAAAAAATATATATACATAGAGAGAGAGAGAGAGAGAGAGAGAGAGAGAGAGAGAGAGAGAGAGAGAGAGAGAGAGAGAGCAAGAGAAAGAAAGAGAGAGAGAGGAAATGTCGCGATTACAAATGATCGTACCTGTCCAAAATGATGGTACTTATTATTAAGATAGAAACTGTTTATCGAACAAATGGAAACTTAACAATTATCTGTATTTTAACGTCGAAATCGTATCTAGTTAAAGCGATGGTTATTTATAATTTACTCTATTCTGTTTTATATAGAAAGAACGCGTGCAAAATACATAAATAATACGAACAAATTGTTTCCGTCATCAGACCGAGTTAACAATTATTTTAGGTTAAATATATTTAGTGTCGCTCATAATTATCTTTGTAATACAAAGTGTACAAGAAACTTGTATACTAATTCTATAATTAATCTACCGATTGTTTGATCATTTAATCATTTCAATTTAAAACAAGTTTATTCATCAAATTACGATAGTAATTTATCTTATCACATAGAATTATTGATTTAATTCATAAGAAATCAAAAATAGATTCTTTGAATATAATTTGATATTAATAACTTTTTTGTTCTTATTTTCATTATTAATGATAAAATTAGTTGACATTGTTGATGATATTATATTATCATTTGTAAGTAAAGATACATAATCTTGTAATGCTAAACAGTAAAAATAAACAGAAACTATATTTTCTACAAAAAATACAATTCTTATTTCTGTTAACGATTAAAATTTTTTGATTAATTATGAGCGATGCATTACACAAATAATTATTGGTTTTATATGATAATATAAATACGCATTTTTTAATTTAACATTTGATATTTATTACAAAACTTACATACACGAGATAATACATAAGAAGCACTTACACGCGAAAAATCATATAAATAGAATTAACAAATAAAGTTGAGGTTCCTCGATAAATTTTTTCTTTATTGTTCGATCAAGTTCGTTGTAATAGTATTTTTGTTCGTTTTTTTTTTTTTTTTTTCAAATTACCCTGTCTCTTGAGATCATTACAACTAACATGTAACACATATTTTTGAAGCAACATGTTGGCTTCAACGTTTATTCGTATTAGTTACGTCTTTTACAATGAAATTCTTAAACTAATAATTCAGTTTAATGTTTTGCAAAAATATTTTCACTAATTTCAAAAGTTTTAAGAATTTCAGAATATCTTGCACCTTCTCATAATATATTATAACTGATAAAGAAATATTTTCGATCATTTTTTTTTTTAAATTATTTTAAATAATTTTAAAAAATACAATTAATAGTTAATCTTAATTTCTGTAAAAATGCTATCTTTATCTTTAAAAATTTTAAGATTCTTTAAACATTTCTGAGATATGGTACAATAAGAGAAATTATATTTTTATCGTTATATTTTAATTTTCTTTTTATGCCTTGAATTAGTTTGAAGAATATAAAAGTTGTAATTGTAAATATATATAACAAATAGAAAGAATAAGTTGAGAAGGGCAGTAATTTTTTGCAAAACTTTTTTTCTTTCTTTTGATTATATGCATTAGTAAACTTTTATATTCCATTATATTTTATATAAATAGTTCCATTTCAAATCTGTTACTTCAATATGAAAGTACAAAAATAAAGGACTTATTATTATTTTTAATACTTTTATTGCATTATTTGAAACTGTTTTCTACTTCTTAGGAAATTTGGTTCTTAAATACGTTATTAGTACATATAAAATAAAAACAAAAAATAAAGAAATTAAATAAACTAAAAAATATGTTTACTAATTTGGAATATAAAAAAATAGATATTTGCAATTTCTTTGCATTTACTGATTTTAATAATTAATTTAATTAGTGAAAAAACATAATAGATGTACACAAAACATAATTGTGTACAGCAAACCTAATTATTAAAATTATTAGAATTATTAGAAAAATAAACTAATACTACCGTTTCAAATGATGTACCTCACGATTTACGGGTATCTTCTAAAACATATTTCTAGGATTTTAATGTATTACCGAAATTTAAAGTAATTACTGTGGAATTAAATATTCTCTAGCTTTTACAAGTTATATTTTAAACTGTAATTTTTTGTTTCGTGAAAATTGTGCATAAGATTTTATTATAAACGAAATATTTGAAATTAAATCTCAATATGTTATTCTGTAATACTAAAATTGAAATACTGTGTTTCTAAATCAATTTAAAAAATTAAAAATAAGATCAGTATAATTTTATATATACCAGAGATTTAGATTTACTTTTATACTTGGAAGGCACTTATAAATTCTAACACTCTATTTTCTTCAATGTTTTTGGTTAAGAACATATATTAAAATAAATTATTTTATTTTGTTAGTGGCCAAAATATTTATAAATTTTGCATTAAAAACTTTAAATTTGTGCGAGTTTTTATACAACTTACATGTACATATATTATCAAATTAGTTCTGTAATGTATTAGTAGTTTGCAAATCAGGTACATGACATAGTGAATTATAAATAAATGATATAATGGATTGCAGTAACTTATTATACAAAATTACCGGAATCATCGATAATAGTATTTTTATACCAATAATACTTTACATATATTATATGAATAATAAAAGTTATTTCTTCAAAATTAAATGCAGTAATAAAATATTACTCTAATATGTATTCAAATATTCAGAACATTGCACTACAGGATCATATTACAAATATAATTCTATATTTACTGTAGGACAATAGTCACATTTTTATGTATAGGATGCAATAGACAAAGACCGCATATTTAAATGAACATAATTTTAACAAAATTATTCTACAAGAAAAAATATATTTTGGCTAAATATTTGAAAATGTGAACATTACCATTTATAGTTTATTCCGATTTCTCATTGTCCATTTTTTGTATAAATCGTGTTCAAATGAGCACTATTTAATTTATCGATATAAAAATATTTGTTCTTATTACACTTAAAAAAAAAAAAAAATGAAATAAAATAACAATATTACATCTTTTTCCATTAACACGGAATAATATCGTATTTAAAAGTACTTGTCATTATAGTTTTTAACAACTATTTCTTTTGTGCAATATATAGAGACCTCCCATATTGCAGTGTGCAATATATTAATACTCATTTTGGACAAGTGTGCTTAAATTAGCACCTTGTTTGTTTGGCTATTTCAATAAAAGAAGTTTTGCTCATTTTTGTTTATATAATAGCAAGATTACAAACTCTAGCTGTATCAGAAAATGCAGCAACAAAAAATAAATATATGACAGTCGATAAGAATGACTATTCATAATAAGAAGTATATAAAATATTCCATAAAATGGCAGCAGTCATAAGTATGGTGTAAGTAATAATACTGGTCCACCATATAACTTTCTCCCATGTTTTTACTTCCAGATTACGAAGTACATTTATACCTACAAGTAGGCCTGCAATGGCACCAGCAAAATGAGCCACATACCCAACTTGACTATTGGTTTCTAACACGTAACGGTTATATATTGCTTGACCGATATCAACAATCGTTACGACAAGGAATACTAATAATTGTAAAACAGCAAACTCCATTTGCGACCAGTTCATTAAAATAGTTGCTACATGAGCAGTTATTAATGCATACACACCACCTGATGCTCCTGCTAAATATACTGTAGGATCTGATACAGAGGTACCAAGAGATCCTGCTACAACACCAGCTATGTATATAGTTAATACTCTCCACCATTTATGTACCATTTCCAATGGAATACCCAGCATTATCTGTACAAGTAGGTTTACCACTAGATGAAATACTCTGTGAAAAGAAAAATTTTATCATTATCTGAACACATAAAGATAGATGTATTCATAAAAAAAGGAGATACATACCCCACATGTACAAACATATATGTTAAATACCTCCATGCTTGGTATCTTTTATGTGGATTATAAATAAATAATGTAGCAGCTGGTCCTTCAACAGAAGGTGATTTATGTACAATCACATCATATAAAAATAAAATAATTTCTAATATGGATATAATTATCATTGCTAATGCTGGAGGTTTACAACTATATTCTTCTTCATATTGTCCATCAGGAATATCACTAGACCGTGCTACTTGGAAGGCAATAGGTCTTTGTGGAACCATAGATTGTACGTATCGTTGTACAAGGTGACCAAAAACACCTTGCATATCTTTTCTGTGAATCTAAAAGCAGATCAGTTATCGCAAATACTTTAAATTAGACTATGAAAGAATTAAATATATGTTTCTAGATTATTCATTGGCCTACTAAATATAATTTATTTAAAAAATTTTGATTGATTAGTGTAAAGATTATTTTAAAATATTATGATAGTTAATGGATAAATAAAGTACATAACAATAATGATAATAATAAAAATAAAAATATATAAAGTAAAATATCTAAATAAGCATTATTCTATTTTAGAAACACAATTATAAGACAAAATAAGATTAGAATAAAAATAATAAGAATAGAAATAAAGATACCATAGCTATAAATTCTGGATAATCTAAATATCCTGAATCATCTAGATCTGCCTTACGCATAATTGTATGGACAACCCTGGTTGGAATATCATTAGAATAAGTAGAACTACGTATCATAGCTCTTAATTCCTGATACGAGATTTTTCCATCCCCATCGAGATCATATTTTTCAAATATAGCTTTCCAATGCTGAAAATGTAAAAATTATTGTAACAAATAATGAATTAAATCTTTTGTTAGATTTATTATGGTATTTGTGAAGGTTATAGAAAACTAATAATGAGAATTATATGCCCAAAAGATTAGTTCTTACAGCATTATTGTACTGCAATGGTATTGTTATACCAGACTCTCCTTCTTGATTACTTGTCATTCTTATTAGTTTGAAACCTCTGCAACATATAAAATTAAGCTTAACATAAGTCTGACATTATATAAATCAATATCATTATCCTTAATATTCTTCTATATCCTTATTCCATGTAAAGAAAAAAATTGATCTCATAAAGTATAAAATAATTTACCTTTATTAAAATTAACAACAAAGTACACATTATATTTCATATATAATAAAAGAAAGAATATACTTAAAAGTTTGAATACCTGTGTTCGGTTAATCGGTAAACTGTATATCAAACGTATAAATGGTTGTAAGTTATATTTATTGAATGCACATACAGCTCAGTCTATAAAATTATTTCTCTGTTTGTCATTACGAATAGATTTTCACACAAGATTATTCATACAAACAAATGACACACATCAATTTTATCTTATCAGATTGATACATTATCCGGAAAATTAGCAGAGAAAACTTGCGTAATAAACGAATAACAGATAACTAATATACGATTGAAAATGTATCCTACGTCCACGTAATGTACATTTGTTTAATCTCAATACCTGAACCGTCGACAAGAACTTTAATCAGCAATATGAGTTGGCTTAGATTATCTTCGAGCGAAATTCCCCATTACTGTGATCAGTTAGAATACGAAAGTTCGTATCATTAGCTACACCAAAGTACGTTTGAAAAGACTGTACGCCTAAAAGTCACCAGCGTCGCAACAGGTGAACTCAACAGCCAAGCATCGCACGAATAGAAAGTACCGTAAGATGTATGTAGTAGAATGTTATTTCTTTACCGATTATCGACATAGTCTTTCGGTTTCGTTTGTCACTTTTCGTATCGATTTAGTGATTGTTTTAAAACAAAAAATTTTCCACGATTCTCTAATAAGGTAATTGATTCATTTTATTTAAATTACATATATGTAGTTATAATATAATGTATAACATAATAAACGAATAGGATTAATGACTATATACAGGTAGGAATATTTATTTTTAATCGAAGATCACAAAAAGTCAATTCATACGCATCACTATAGTAACAATGTGAGTATCTATCTTGATGATTCATTCAATTTTTTAATGAATCATAAAATTCGTGTATATATACATTAGATAGCAAGAATACATAGGTTTGCTTTCATCAGAAAGTTATCAATGAAACTCAGTGCGGTATTCGATACTGACAAATGTTTAAGGTAGAATATAACGTAGGATTTATGAACAAGTTTCGAGATGAATTGAATTTGTGGATTTATCATGAATTATATCATAAAATTTGTTATGAAGTATTAAATCGAAATGTCTTATGGAATTATTAAATATTTCGCTAAAATAACTATTTATTTAGAAAATCATGTTGTATTGATATCACATAAGACATTAAAAATTTTTGGGATTATTTAGATGAGTTAACAGAAATATATTTAGTTTGGATTAAATTATTTCAAAATTCTTTGCATACTTTATGTGATACAATGAACAAGTGTTAATTAAATATTTTTTTAAATTTAGGATTTCCTATTTTCTTTTTTTTGTTTAATTAAGGTCTCGAAAATTAATATATTAAGAAAAACGTCAAACAATATTCAATAAATAATATTACTATTAAATAAAATATTTAATAATTAAATATTTGAAATTATCATAATAATATATTTAGAGAGTAATATGATATAAATATAATTTCAATTTATAAGTTACATAAACCATTATATAAATTAATAATTAAATCAATGATTTTAATAGAATATTTTTAATATTAAATAAATACACAAATATATAAAATTATTAATAATTCAATAATTGAATATTACCTTTAATAACTGAATTCTTGTAACATAAAAATATTTTACACGGAAACACAATTTTTGTGATACTTATATACCTGCAAAAGGCATCTGAAAAATATTGCAGTTTTTATTACGTGTTCTGTCTTATAAAGCTGACTCAACAGGATGTAGGGATCTTATAACTACGTTCTATTTTATGTTAATAACAATTCGTTACAATCATGTATAAGAAGAAGGTATAAACGAACATAAAGTGCAGATGTAACTTTACTTCTGTGTATATTTGTGCTGTCACACCTGTTACCAAGCAACAGAAGAATCGATAAATAATACAGTCGCATGCGATTGTTAGTGACTCCCTTCAGTCAGTCTTTTTGACCGTTACCTAAATGTTCTTCACACTATACAATCGAACAGATGATTGATATATTCGATGGTAAAGAAAATGGCAAATAAAATACGAAAACAAAAAATAGCTGTTAATTACAAGGTTAAAGAACCCATAAGCAACTTCAAAATAAGGTAACATTTTGACACTTGATTTCGTATTATAACAAAAAAAAAAATTGAATAAATAATGAAAAATTTGTAAAATCACGACTCATTCTCTATGTTTTTTACCATTTATTCTTTCATATTATTTGAAGTGCACAATTATCAAAGTGACTGTTACAATGTGAAACAACGCCACTGTTTTGCCGCCGAAACTTGTTGCAGACATGTCGATAGAATTAGATTCCGGCCATCTGGTAGAGATTGTTTCTACCTTCTAAATTGTATTTATCTTACGTACGTTTATTGTTTCAGAGTCAAAATCGTACAGCAAAGGCCTTTGCTTGCAGAACTGCTCGAAAACGAAGGGGATACCAGAGACTCGAATTTTCTTGAAGAAGAGGATCATATTTTTAACTGGCAAGAAAAAGTATTTAGTCCGTTCGAAGTAAGTTTTTATAGTGACGAAACAAATTGTCTGACTGAATGTCAGAAAGTTTATTATCAACAAATCAAGGAAGAGAATATTGAGGGTTCTCAACTTTATACTTATACGCAAAATGATTCTTATTATTCGAGGGATGAATTGTTATCAAAACCTTATAAGACGAAATTGGCAATCAGGAACCAAACTGCATTACCGGCCTTGCAAAATCGCAAACCCTTTTCCGAAAGATACAATAAGATGGTCATAGATGATGTACCTAGCGACACAAGGATTCGAACAAATCATTATCTCTACATGGAGCGTTCTGCGATGTATGTCATGGTTGACTTATCTCAACGAGATAAGATCTTGACAATCTCCGATGAGGATACGGAAATGGTATTGTTTGTCATTATATATGATGAATTGCATAAAATTTTAACGATTAATCCCGACTTTACGAACGATCATTATTATACCATCACGAATTCCAACGGCATTCAATTTAATTATTGGCTCGAGCATGTTTCCGAGAAACAATCGTCTTTGGAATTGCAACAACAACAAAATGAATTGCGACGAGTGAGTATATATAAAAACTTCAGATTATTTCATTACAAACTGGTTTTGACATCTTTTTTGTTCATTTCGTTTGCACACTTTAAATATCGTAATTTTTACTACATTTTCAAATAATTTAAAAATAATAATTATCTATACATTCTTAGTTTAAATTGCAAATGAAAAATTCACAATTAAGTTAATTTAAAATTTAATTACATTGATTATACGACATTTCTATTAGTAAATTTTTAAGATTGATCTTATGAAGAACTGTATATAACGAATTTCTTTAGAATACGTAATAATATATGTATATACATACCCGACGTAGGAGATTTCAGAGATTTGTCTCATCATCCTTTGTGGATAAAACATAACTCTTGAAATTAACGAAAACTTGTCACTGACACCAATAATTCTTCACAATTAAACATGTGTGATGCTAAATTGATTTTAATTGTTTTATTTTACACTTGGTTAAGATACACTTAGAAAATATGAATATTTTCATATTTAATCATATATTTTTGATTATTTCATTATAATACAATCAAGATTCATTAATTATTTAAAATGTTAAATATTTAAGAACGATGAAATGCGTTAACCGGTGTGGTCTCAATCGAACTGAATCTTATGGCAGTGAATGGCTGCTCGAACACGTTCATACTTATCTGCTGTCGTATGCACATGTACATACATATATGTATATACGTATAAACCACCATACAGCTGTTTGTACAAATATGGTGGAGGAAACTGTCATTTAATCGTAAAAGTAACGTCCACGTTTCGGACTATTGTTGTCATGTAGTGTATTCTTTAATATTTCATGTATTTTTGGATATATAAAAAAATTGTTAAAAATGTTATAAAATTTGCTATTATTATATTTAGTGTTCTTTAATTTTTCTGTTTGACATATATACAAAAATTGTGTATAACTGTATATTTAATATTTGAAATTATAAAATATTATTTTAATTATTATTTTGCAGGAAATTAAGGAGCAGCTACTATATAAAGAAGCAGAAATATCTCATGGATTGCAATTAGCACCACCAGATATACATAAGTTTTTTATAAAATTCGATATTTTGTCAGCTCATGATTTCTTTTTTGATGGACTTTCTATTTCTTACCACATTGACTTGCCAGATCATTGGAGCACAAATCAAAATGACAGATTATTTGGAAGAACTCAAAGATGTAACTTAAAGAATAATTCAGCATATTTTAGTTATGCTTCAGAAATATCATTAGATTTTGATACATCAGCTATGCTTGATAGAAATATTGTTTTATCATCATGGCCTCGATTGTTACTGTCAGTTATATCACTTGATAGTTGGTTTAGGTGAGTGAATTAAATATAAAAATTTTTCCATTCTAAATGAAAGTAATGAAAATATTAAATATAATGATAAAAATTTCAGGTATCGTACAGAAGGTTATGGAGTTATACCTTTACCTGTATTACCAGGTTCATATAAATTTAACATTCCAACCTGGAGACCAACTGGAAGTATTATTAATACTCTTAGGAGATTTTTTACTGGTGGTACTTATGAATTGGAAGATATGACTTACTGTGGTATCCCAAAAGGACATGAAGATAAGATGTTAAATAAGTCACGATTAAATGTTACACCAAGTGGTTACATAAAGTTAAACATGAATATCGTCTATCAAACTCATAGTACAATTAAGGATAATGATCAGTTAGATTATTTTCAAAAACTGGGTACAGATAAACTTATGACTAATATAGATAATATCTTTGAACAGTTCAAAGCAGCTAGAGAACGTATGTTACAGATTAGAAATTTTAATATTTAGTTATTTAAACTTAAATTGATTTGTCCATATATTCGTAAATAAATATTGAAAACATGAACGAATTAAATTCGACTGATAAAATAATTTTAAATAAGTGTTATTACTAAAATTGAATTATATTTTCAATTTTTAGTATCAATAGAATAATAATTTCAAGATATAATATAATTTCAAGATATTTATTTTGTAAATTACAAATATATTGTGATATAGTGTTGGACTACTTTACACTTATAAGACTTAGTATTTGAATTATTTCTTTGCAGATGTTCCTAAACAATAATATACAAAGGAAATAACAATAAAATAATTATAGATACATACATAGGTTGCTATTTAGTACAAAAAAAACAAAAAGGCCTACATTACTAAGTGTATTTTATGTATTTCACTTTCCTCATTTTTTTTTTACAATTTCCTATAATTTAATAGCTATCTATAAAATATTCTTTTTACACAAATTACAATAAATTATATAATATAACATTTATATACTTAATTATGTATTAAAATAACATCATAGAATTCAATATTATTGTTTTAAATGTAACAGAGGTACATGATAATTAAAAGAAAGATAGAAATAAAAGTTTAACACTTTTTTCTAAGATATGACTGACAATTAAAATACTAGAATAAAAGTGCAGACATTTATCCTACAGGCATTTCAATCATTGCCTTTTCTTTGCAGCTTTTACTGCTTTTGATTTTTGTTTTTCTCCACCAGATAAGAATGATGTTATTACTTCAGACATTTCTGGCATGTTATAATTAGTGAAATTATTTAATTGTTCCATTTCCTACAAAAAAGAAAAAAAAAAAAAAAATAGAAATGATATTAAAATTATAAAATTTATATTATATACTTTTGAATATTATACAATGAAACTTGCATAGTTATATTACTGAAATTATTTACTAACCTTTCTAGTTTCAGGATCATTCATAATTTTTGGTAGAATCATAATTAATAATAATGGTAATATCATCATTAAAACCTACAAAAACATGAAGAAATGATGAATGATTTAATTTCTTTTTGTAAGTACATATAAATTCATAAATTCATACCATTGGATTAAATAAAAAGTCTGTTACTCTCCACTGTTCTCTAACTTGAAAATAACGGAATGGTGTAAGAGGTCTCATTTTTAATGGATATGGAACCTGTATTACTTGTGACGTTTGAATCAGGTTGACCTTCCTTGCCCTGAATTTTCCTTTTGAGTTAATTTCTACTCTTACAGGTTCATAAACAAAATTTGGATTTACAACTTCAATTACATATGATCCTGATGGTACATTTGAAATGATAAACGTTCCATCCTCTCTAAAAATGTTAAATATAAATGTTTAAAAATAGTGATATGAATCCTAACCTATATAAAGCTTACGAAGTTTCATATGATTCTCATGTCTGATAAAAAATTGATTACTTTTTGTATATAAATAACTGTTTCAATTTTTAACGCAAATGTACCTTAAGAAACCATAATGTTCTCCACCATTAGCCATAACATGGGTCATTAATTGCCATCCATTTGGGCCTCCATTTTCCCATGGAAAAACTTTTCCCTCGATAACGTATAAATCAGTCGATATATCTTCATCATTTTCGGCAATTACATATTTGTTAGATATATTGACAATAATAAAAAATACAAAAATAGCAATTTTATACATCATCATATTGAATGTACACTAAACACATAAGAAGTTTGTACTGGACGTCTAAATGTGTCAGTGTAGTAAACTATAAACTACTTTTGTCGAATAATACATTTTCAAAAATGGTTTCAAGTACTATTTCTAATATTTCTAAAGTAAAAGAATAAAGTAAAAAAATATGTTATAAGATTTTAAAGATTATACCAAGTTTAATGAATTAAATATTTTTAATAATATATATGAGCTATCTTTGTATAAAGTATATTGGTAATACCGAATGCTTTTACAGCCTTCAGGGTACAAGAAGTTAGATGGTACGTTGTAGACTTGTGTTCAGTAATAAATAATTTATTAGTTGAGAAGCATATATTTATATTATTGGAAAAATTAAAAAACAATAAGAATATCAAAATGGATGATAAGTTACGTCAAATGGAAGATGAGATGAACAGGTATTGAATAGTTATAAACATGTACAATCTTTCTAACCTATTTATATTCTACTGCCGTCTTACTGTTTCTTTTATATACATACAGTTTTTTTTAACCATGCAATTAATTATGTCATTTACGTTTTTAAAAGTGTTGCATCGTTTATAATTTACACGGTAAATTATACTAAGTGGCTCATTTCTTATAAAGCAAATAAATTATTACCCGTTTAGATACAGGTAACAGTATGATTGAAAATTTGTACCCAAAGTATAAATGCTTTGAATTAATTGTAAATTTAAACTACTTTTTAGATTTGAAGCTGAAATTGGTGGTCAGTTAGTTACACCAATGGTTAGACCTGTAATTGGTGCAAATACATATAATCAAGTGGCTAGACAGTTAGAACAACATGAACTTCCAACACCAGTTGTTGCTGCTGCTGCAGCTAGTTTAGCTTTTCCTCCAATGATTGGATTTCCACCACCACCACCACCACCTCCACCACCACCGCCACCACCACCAATGTTAATTCCACAACAAGTAGCAAGACAAGGTAAAGGATTATAAGATACTTTATACTTTAAAGTCATATTTATTAAGAGTAATTTATTAATAACATATTGTTTCATGCAGGTACGGTTCCTTCTATTACAACATATTCGTCACCTGCACAGATAAGTAATCCATATTTACCAAATATGGTGGACCCGTGTTTAAGTGCTACTCCAAAAACCTATGAATCTACATCAACGCCAATGATTCATCCAGAAATTATTGAACAGATTATCAATACAAAGATCCCAGAAGATGACAGCAAAAAGAAACCCAAAGTGAAAGGTGTTAGCACTGCAGCAGAATTAGCAATTAGTCAAGGGAAAGCAAGTTCTATTATGGCTAATGCCAGTGCAGAAGAGACTCATCCAAAGGGTAAAGGAAAGAAAAATAAGAAAATTGTACGAATGGCTGGTGGGCAAATATGGGAAGATCCTTCTTTGCTAGAATGGGATGAAGGTTAATTACTTTTCCATATCGATATTGTTCATAAGTTTTATTTTGCTTTAGATATATTTTACAATTTTTTTTTGTTATATTATAGATGATTTTAGAATATTTTGTGGAGATTTAGGAAATGATGTCACAGATGAAATGCTAGTAAGAGTCTTTGGCAAGTATCCAAGCTTTCAAAAAGCAAAGGTAGTCAGAGACAAAAGAACAAACAAGACAAAAGGATTTGGATTTGTATCTTTCAAAGATCCCCAAGATTTTATCAAAGCTATGAAAGAAATGAATGGTAAGTTAATAAATAACTTATTACTATAATAATTTAAAATAGTTTATGTTCTGAAATAGAGAAAGAAAGACAAAAAGAAAAGGAAAACAGAAAAGAGAAAATAGGTTCTAACATAATTGAAGCTATGTATAAAAAATTAAACTTTACTTTTCATAGGGAGTGAAAATTTATATTATTACGTTTTCTAATTATATAAGAGAAGAGAATGAATCATAATTTTATACATATTTTGGTAGGATCTTTCATAATTATCAAGATAGGATTTTCAGTAAAAATTCAAAAGGGTACTAACGATTTCTTAAGTAAATATTCATAGTTAATAAAATTAAGAAATTCTTTGATAAATATGAGTAAAAACATTTCAAAAATATTTAAAAAGTATATACAAATAGTCAATGAATAATTGAGAGATATCATTGCCACATTGTGAATATCTTCCTAAAAAAAAATTGTGTAGATTGCAATTTATCATAATTGTACTAAAATATGGCACTTATTTAAAATTATTTAACTAAATATTTTTACAGTTAATTTCGTATACCAAAATTATGAGATCAGTATTCCGTTTACTCAGTAACGTTTTAAATAGATTCTTTTCATTTTCCAAATGGACCCCATCCATACGATATAAAAAGCTGCGGTATTATTGAATATTGTCTTCTTGTTTGTGTAGAACTTCCGTTACGTAATACAATGCGAGGATTAGGGAGCATTATAGGCGGTGTTGAACTTTCAGCTTTTCCTACTTCTTGTTGCTGAGCAGTACCTTAACATAAGATGTACCATGTATTTATGTATTTACGCAATAGTGTATTATTATATTCGTTCTTTATTAATATTTTCTTACTGGCTTGGTTTCCACGAGAACCATGTAGGTTCATATAAAGAACAGAAAATGGCATGCCACCGGCACCCCAACTACGAGACATAACGACATCCTTCTTTGACATTCTATTTCCAATTTGTTTAGCAGTCAGTGTTGACTGATGAACCTTCCTATTTAATGGCGGAGAATTATTACCCCACGTGTCTATCACTGTATTTGGATCTATACTTTCAGCTTGTCGTCGACTATGTATTCTACAATTCACAACATTATTTTCTAGCATTATATAGGACAGTATGAAAATTGAAGTACATAACAAATAGATACTTTGATATGGGTAAATTCTTTGATATAGTTGGAACATTTTCGTGTGCTTCTTGCACTGGCAGCCATTCCCAACAATCTCCATTCGAGGAACAGGCAGAGGTGACCATAGCATCTAAGACATTTTGTTCCAATGTGTTCCTTAAATCAAGCAATGGCACTGCTTGACACACGATCCACAGAGCATTTAACGCAAAGATGAAGATCATGGTTGTAAACATATTTTTCTATCTTTATCTTTCAACTATGTATTCTCGTTCGATATTTTTCTCGTGTTCGTTCAATGTTTTCACTTCTGTGAAACGAATCGTTAGTTTGGATACAGCGGTGTGTCGTTCCCTGTGGCGAATTCTGGAAAGCATTAGAAAGATACGATAAATTTTCGATGGAACATTTGCAACATCATAATGGTATAAATTTAATCGAAACGTGGGTGATTTCACACGTGGAACGCATCACAGTCGAATGCCGTGACGATCGGATGTGATCGTTATTAGGCCGGTCACAAATCCTTGAATTTGTCGACAGCCAGGTATGCTGTTTACGTTTTCGAGACCATTTCTGCAATGGTTACACATTTCCTGCTAAAGTTAGTGCGGTGAATACCCACCAACTTGCCGATTTAGTGACCGTAGAATGAGGCTGTGATAGAGAAGCGGCATTGTTGTTTGTTGACAAAGGATTTTTTTGATCAGTTTGCTAATTTGTTTTCTTATTTAGGAATTTTTTGTACACTTTTTATTTTTCTTTATCGTTCTGCTTTGCATTACTTAATTTAATATGGTACAAAATTGAGAGGAATGTTAGTTATTTTCTCTTAGAAAACTCATATTGCCAATTTATCGCTAAGTTTCTTAGGAAAGATTTTTTTTTTATAATAGTGTTTGTTTGTAACATTATAGAAGTTTTATTATGAAAGTAACAGAAGTATGTATGTATATATCTTTTGTTAGATGTTAATAATCAACAGTAATTAATATGTTACATTTATTAGTATTTCGTTGTTAGTTGATAATTTTATATAGAGTCATTAATTTTGTAATTTCGGCTTGTTAATCGATAACTACCCTGAAGTGTCAAATCTATGATTAGGAAATTAACGTAACTGTCCATGATATTTGACTAATTCTGTAATTCTAAAATTCGGGAACCTATATATTTTTCTGTCCCTTTTATGAATATATTCTTTTCCTTTTCGAACTAAACACTCTCGTTTCATTTATTTTTATATTTAAATTTTAAGTTTAGTTTTAATACCGTTGAAAAATTAATTTAAAAACCTATTTACGAATTTTATTTGCTAATTTGTTTAAATCAAAAATAATTCAGTAAATTACTGTACTTTTTTACAGTGACAAATCATATTAGTTTAAAATATTTTGTAGTCATTTAGATGATATTAAAAAATAATTTTATACACTTGCCCATTGATACATACTCAAATATGATAGGTAAAGATAAAGAAATTTAAAGAATGAAGATAGCAGTTAATTAGAACTGTTTTCTAAACTTGCGAGACATTATTGAAAATCACAATTTCTTAAAAATTAGAGATACAAGAGTCTAAAAATTAAATATTCATTTTTATTATATATGTAAGTTATTCCATTTTTGAATAACTAATGAAACAAATATTACTTTTGCACGAAAGAATATTACAAGCGTTTAATTAACTCACTGTAAATTTTTTTATTTTTATTTCTAATGGAAGTATATGCAGAAAAATAAAAAGCCGTAAGACTAGTAATTTTATTTTCATTTGTAAATGGAAGCACAGAAAGCAATAAAAAAATCGTGAGACTTTGAACGCGATCAACCCTCAACTAACAATTTTATTTTCATTTGTAAATATGAAGAATAAAAATAAAATTAAAAAAAAAAAGGAGAAGAAAGTCGTGAGACTCACCGTAGACACGACCGTCTGTTCGTTCAGTCGTCCGTTTGATTCCTTGTTAGAAGAAATTCGTCGTCACCTCTTCGTAGAAGTCTCACCGATCCTCGTGAGTTTGGCGCGCGAACACGGAGCCGTTGGGACATCCGTTACCCGTCGGGGTGACTGCGACGGAGTGCGTCGCGACGTCGCTCGTCCCGGTACTCATTCAGCAACCCCTACCAGCGCCGTTCTTCTCTAGAACCCCTCCACTCGACCGCGAAACAGCCAATTGGGATCGTTTTGTGTTCGACGAACGACCGATTTTGCGTTGCGTCTTACTTCGTCATCACGATCGTCATTGTCCTCGTCGTTGCTTCTTCATAGTGGTCATCGTCATCATTGTGTTTCCCTGTTTTCTTCGCCAGCCTTCTTCCTTATTTTCGTCACCGACACATCACGCTCATTTTTATTCTTCCTTTTGCGTTTCCGTCTCAATTTTTGATTTCTTCGCTGTTTCCTACTTTTCTAGGCTGTCTTTGTATGTTCTTTACATCCTTTATTTTATTTTATTTTATTCCTTCTTGCAGTTTTGCGTTTTAAAAGACATGGCGAGGAATCACGAAGAATCATATCTATCGATAATAAATATCCGTGCAATTTGTTAGCTTTTTATAGTATCTGGTATCCTTGTTATTTTTCACTTTTGCTCTGCATTTTTGATATTATAAAATATCGTACACGTATATGAATAATATAATATATGGACGTATCTTTATTTGCATTTTTCGATATGCGATATTTGGCACTTTTCTTTTACTTTTTAAATTAAAATTTTCGCTTGTTACGTGTTTGTACTCGTTATATTTCCTTTATCGGTTGTCTGGTACATTTTTGTTTTCCTTTTTTGTTTCAGTACCATTGCATTTGTAACGCGTTTAACAAATATGTATTTGCGGTGCAAGTTGCGTCTACTTTGTATAATTTTTCATTTAAATCCAATATTCCATTTAATATACGTGAAGTGATTTTTATAAAGTGATATGTCGATACTTTAATATTTAAGTATCTATGGTTTTTATTTTGCACCGTATATTCGGTTTTATTACTATTTATTAATAACGATTATTGTATTGTGTAATAATCGTCGTAAATGTTATAAAGTATTTGTTGTACAGAATATTTTTAGTTTTCATATCATAGGGCATGTATGATCCACGTGGTGCGAATGAAAAATCGCATGGAATTGATTCTGGAGAGAACGGGTTAACTAGTTTTCCTCGAATTTGTCTCGTTTTCCTCATTATTCTATCGGTTCTTTATCAGTTCTGGATTTCTCTGTGATTTCGTAATCACTGCATTTTCTTATCTTTTGGGAAATTTGTTTTCACTTTTTTCGTTGTTTTATCATCGTAGCATTTTCTTATCTTTTCTACCAAGCCTTCGATCCTTTCTTTACCATTACTATTATCATATTCTGCATTCCGTTATTTTTCTATTAATTATTTTTACCCAGTAAGTTATTAACGTTTCCTTTATATCTTTTTCATTAGCTCGTTCTTTTCCCTTTGCTACGCCTTCTTAGTTTTTTAACAAATGCTCCTCATGTTCTTTATGTTACTCGTCTTTTTTTAATTTTCTTTGGCTCCGATCTACCACCTCTGCAGTTTCTTCACCTTTCTTCTAGCTTCTTTTCATTCCTACCGCATTTTCTTCGTTTTCTTATAGCCTTTTCTAAGTGTTCTTATAATTATTATATTTTTTGACAATTCGATTTTTCTTATTTATTCATTTCCCTGATTCATTTGTTGTATCACTGCTTTTCTTCTTTTCTCTATTTTTCCATCCATTCTAGTGTTTACTTTTTTCGTCTTTTTCGTCTTCTAATCTCATGATACTACTCATTGTGTCATATAATATTTATTTATACAGAGTGAATCATGAAATTGGAGCAGGTTATATCTCTTCTTTGGTCAGAAATAGGAAAAAGTTGTAGAGAAAATACTTGAATACGAGAATGTTTCTTTTCTTACGGTTTCACTTCTCTCGTAAGTGAAATATTGCATTTACAGGACTACAGTTGTATACAGACTTCGAATGATATGTTTTATTCACATATTCGACCTATTTTAAATAAATTACAGTTGAAAAGTTATAATTAAATTATAATTCTATATTTAATTAGTTAATATAAAACTGCATATTTAGAAGTTATTAATGTATTTAATATTAATTTAATAATTTTAATTTTATAATTTTATTAAATAAATTAAAATTCAAGAAACTAATACTTGAAAAAACATTTTGTATTCTTTATATGATATTTGTTTGGTATTATCTTAAAGATAAAACGAACTCATTTTCGTTTGTTACGTTGAAGCACTTATTTGCATTTACATACTTACATTGTCTAAACATATTAATTCTGCTATAGGAAACTATGGAGGCGTTTCTAATACCTTCTTATAAAATACCTTCTTATAAACATTTCATGAAATATTGAACATTACATCTTCTTATACGCAGTATGTTTCAAGAAATTAGTATACACGTAGACGATATTCTGTCTCATAGGAAAAAAGATATATTTGCATTTTTTAAGTGCATTGTGCACATGAAGAAAGAGTGAAGTGGTAGAGGCACAGATCCCATATCATTCAACTTTTTTCTCTAATCAAACACGAAATATAACCCGTCTGAGTACTCTAACTCTCCCTTTTTCACGTAATTAGATATAATTTCCACGATTTCTTATAGGTCGTTTAGTTTAAATTTGTATATATTTTGTGACAATACAGATTAAACAATTTCACGAACTCATTTCTTGCAAAAGAATATCTTGCGTACCT